CCAGTTGGCTCGAGTACCTATGGATTCTGCATACATTTCTGTTTGGTGAAAAACAAATCCGCACACACAAATCCCTAGCATACTAGACACCCTGTGAAGAAATAATAAATTGAGATTCCATGTTAAATAGAAACTTAGAGGCTTGGGGGGTATTTTTGTTTTTTATCACGACCTTGGCTAATACAAGTTTCAACATTATCAGTGGGGAGAAAAAAAAACATTTTGAATGTGGTATGTATTCTTTTCATTTTGAGCATTTGAGAGACTCCCTTAAAAAATAGTCCATTTTATCTTCAATCAAATGTTTAACACATTCAATCAAATGCTTAACTACCAACACAAGGTAGTTACTGTCAAGGTTATAGTTTTTTTCCAACATCAGCAGTAAAATACTATAAAATAAATACCCTGAATGCTGGCATGAACATAGGCATTAGAGGCTCCAAAGAAGATTCACCTAAGCGTATTTCAACCACATGAACGCGTTATTTCTCATTTCAACTTCCTAGCAGCAAACTAGCGCTAAGTGGAATTCTTGAAACAATACGGTATGCCATATGGCTAAAACTGGATATTAAAATTGAGAATATCAATTACCAATCCACTAATGCTGAGAGCCAAAATCCACTGACAGTAAGAATTTAATCCAATTCAGATACTAAACATGAGCCAGGCCTGACATACAGAAGACAAATCTACTGCCGCTTGCACAGAAAGCAAGGAACTCCAATCTCCTATCATGGTGACTATAAAACTAAGTAAATTCAAAGCTTTCTTAATATTCCTAACTACAGCAAAAGGCCTAATAAGCATCTGCAAAAGCAACAATGCTACTTCCACATGAACTGGTAGCTCATTTTGCACTGTGATTGAGAAATCACAACTCCTAAGAAGAAGCAGAATTGTTTCCCACATGACCAAACCAAAGGCTCAAAAGCACCAGGAAGTTATTACATACAGCAGCCAACGTCATCTGGTTTAATTTCAAGAAAAGGCACCCTAAAAAATACAACAGATATATATTTCTGCTATAATTAAAGGATCCCAAAAGTAATTGCATTAATTGGAAAATTTTCTCATTCTAAGTAGATTAGTGTTAATTGCTCTGGTTTCAAGTTTTAATAGCTGTGGAAAATTCGTTCTTGAATGATATTAAGAACAAAGCTACACAAAGTTCTACATACTATCTAATTACACTCATTTTATTGATTACTTACACACAGAAATTCTCACTATGTCTAAACACGTTTTCAGATTTCCATGAATTAGGGAAAATCCAAAAACTGCTCTTGCTAGGATTTATTGTGGAATTCTAATTTTACATTTTGTCAAAGATTTAAATGACCTAACAGCTACAAGGACTAAACAAGGATAAATGTAATTTCTCTTACTCACTACAGGATCCCACTTCATCCTACTCCTTCCTGATCCTATACTGAAAGGCCAAATACATAGTACCATTTTTTTTTTTAATGTACAGTTCATTTCAAGTTTAACAGAACATTAAAAGCGCTACTAGATTGAACTAACCATTTATTGGACAAGTATTCTTGTTTAATAATTTGATCTTGACAGGATCAAATCTATATCCTTGACAGGACCTGCATAGACCAAAACACATTTGGCTATTCTCAGATTTCCCATCCCCAATGAAAATTAAAAAAACCACACACGACTTTCAACTGCAAATTGGGTCTCCTTCCTTCTTTACGCACTACAGCTAGGCTATTACAGTAAAGTAAGAAACACCTGATTGTACATAAAGTCATGCATAAACACTACTAAAAAGCTTGATATTACCAAGGGTTTCGAGGTCATTTGAATAGAGGAGACATACCAACCATTTCTTCATTGTTCCTACTGGGTACTATATTATTTTAAGCCAAAGTCCAGTATACCAAATATTGACCAAGCTATTTTATTTAGGCTACCAAAGTTAAGAAGCTTGGCACTATAGGGAAAGATCATAAAAGTTACCAAGGGAAAGTCCATTTAAAAATATATATAAAAAAATATAAATTGTTTTAGAATTTTCCATTGTTACTTTAAAATACAATACCTCGCAGAGGCAGAACCTTTTTAATATCCCCAAACCCTTCCTCGCTCTTCCGCATAAGAACAATTACATGGAGCATGACAATAATTTCAGGTCAGAAGCAGCTTAAAGAGCCGCCAGACGTGGCGAGCACTGGGCAGCAGCCAGGTGACTCCTCTGTGCCCCAGGAAGGCACCTGCCTGCACGGGGCCTGCTACCTGATTAGCAGAGAGCCTGCAGCCATGTTCAGCCCTCGCAGAGCCTCCCAATACCTGCCTTCCAGGTTTAAAGTGCCGTTTTTCAGCAGCAGGCTTCAGAAAAACAAAGAGCATTTTGTTGGTACTAAGCCGTCACTGTGAGGTATAAAAAAAAATCGTGTCACCCCTTTATCCAGTGACAGCCGATGTGAACATTTCAATACAAGTAGTTACTCCTCCCACCAGTTCCTATCTGGAGAAGCTCACAAAAATGAAGAAAAACCCACCGACCTCTCTCAGTAATCTTTCCAACGCTCCTCCTACCCCCACCCAAAAAAAAAAGAAGCAAGCAAACCAAACAAGAAAGTAAATCTAAATACAATTACGAAATAAGATCTAGTTTGGCAAAGCTGTGGTGAGGAGGAGTTGAAAAATGAGAGCTGCCTTGCTGCAAACGCCATCTTGTTGCAGCTATTGGGCCCAGGCACAGAGAGATCCATTCATTCACAGCAAAAAGAAAATCAAACACACACCCTGGCTAATCTGCAGCCACCAAAACAACTACACGATTATCAGCCCTTCTCTTTCTCCCCTCCTAAAGCGCACAAGGGGAAAAAAAATCTGATACTTTACGTGTAGAATAAATTTAGAGCTTAACATAATCTCCCTGTTTTTTTGCATGCATTTCACACACGCCGACAGCATTTTGTCTATATTCACATCCTTGTGCTGAGTGGATCAGCTTAAAATATGGGATAACTTTCACGATTAGGGACAGATATTTTACAGCAGTGAAATGTTTAATTTTCTGATTTTCAATCGCCCCCTCCAACTTCAGCCAACAATTCTCAAAAGCTGTTTCAATAACCACTAAAACCTTGCATTCACAGTCCTTTCCTCCCATTTTCTACTGTGGGGACAATACATAATAACGTGGCACTCGGCATCCTAGAAAGGATGCCTAATTTCAAATGAGTCCCACCTATGACTTTGTTAGGGAATAATGAAGTATCACATTCATTAAAATTTCACCTCAGCTTCAGGAACGATAAATTGACATCTTAGAATAACTTCTATATAATTCTGATTTTCTTCTGGACTAGATTTTTTTTAAATAAAACGTCTCTTTTACATGCAAGATTTTCCATCTTTTCATTTCATACAAAGGTGTAGGAATTAAAAATCCTACCTCTAAGGTATCCGTTCAGTGAGTAGAATATATAATATATATACATTTAAATTAATACTGAAGCCTTTTTGGTAGTTAAACGGGAACCAAAATATTATTTTTAACATTTCCAAGGAGGAAACTCCTTTTTCCTATTGTACACCCTCCATTACCGCTGCTACAGGCGCACAAAAACATGCAGCACCGTAGCAGATGGGCGAATGATAAATGTGAAGCAAAATGCATCCTCATCTGTGATCGATCTTAAGGAGAAGAAAACACCCCCGGGCCCCCCGCCGGGCAGAGGGTGCTGGAGGCAGCCTTACCCTGTCGGTCTCGCCCCTCTCTCCTCTCAGTCAGCTTTCCACCATTACAGCAGCCCCACCATAGCTTTCTCTCGAGTGTTTTCTCCAAGCATTCCTTCTACCGGCTTGATTTCTCTGGGAACCCACCTTTTGTATTTTAACAAAACACCCCCCTCCCCTCCCTTAACGCAGACCACCGCGGCGTAATTCCAATTAAAAATGGATCCCCGCAAAACCCAGCGTCCCCTCCCTTTTCGCCTTAAAGCCTCCAAGAGAGAAAGGGTCCCACCCCCACCTTTTTCTCTCCTCCTCCTCCAGCCACAACCACACTTCTTTTTTAGGGGAGGCAGGAGCAGGGGCGAGGTGGGGAAGGGGAGCTCGGCGCCCCCGCCATGCTGAGGCGGCCCCGCCATGAGCCGCCCTTCCCGCCCGCTGAGGCGAGGAGGGGGGCTGAATTTTTTTATATATTTTTTTTACTTTTTTTTTTTTTTGGGGGGGGGGGGAGAGGGAGGGCGAAAAATGGGGGCACCAGGGCAGGCTGAGAGAAGCAGAGGAAGGGGAGGAAGGAGGGAAAAGAGAAGTGCGGCAGCGATGGGGAAGAACGGGGGAGGGGAGCGGGGTGGAAGGGCGCAGCCACGCAGAGGAAGAAGGAACCGGGGATGGAGGGGGAGAGCTGAGGGAAAGGGGGGGGCGGCGGGAAGATGGCCTCAGGGTGGGGCTGCGGCGGGGACGAAGGGCTTAGTGAGCCCTGTGTGGGGGCGAAGGGGGCTGAAGAAAGCCGGGCAAGGCTTTATTGGGGTCCGACCCGCCCCAACCCGCCCCGCGGCCGGTTACCTGCTCATTAACGGGGCCGCTTCGGCCGCCCGCGGCTCCTGCCCGCGTCCCCGCCGGCCTAGGGAGGGGAAGGGAGGAGGAGGAGGAGGAGGATGGTGAGGAGGAAGGCAGGCAGCCAGCCGTCCGCGCTAGGTCTGGCCGATCCCGCCGAGGCAGCGAGCAGCTCGGGCCGTAGAGTCGGAAGCGGAGAGCAGCGGAGGGGGGGGGGGCAAAGGGGTGTCGCTGGCTCTCGGCTCCTCCTCGCACGCTCGGTCCCCGCTTAGCTCCCCGCAGCCATCGGGAAGCGAGCAGCCTGGGCGCGGTTAACCTCCCCCCCCCCCCCCAGCCGCCCCGCCCGTGCTGCCCGGCCGGGAAACCCCGGCTCGGCTCGGCTCCTCCTCACAGCCAGCCCCCGGCACGGCGCCGCCCCGCTATCCAACCCCAACCCGGCGGTGCCCAAGGCCTCCTTCGTTCCCCTAAGGCAGCGACCTGTTCCCTTAGCCCCTCTGAAGCGTGTGGAGGCTGCAAAAAAAAGGGGTTTGCTGCCGAGAAGGGCGCTGGAGGAGTCGCTTTCCCCCGCCCCGTCCTCGGGCGCTGCCTCCTCAGCGCGGACAAAGGGCGCGGGCTGCCCGGGTTTCGCTTCCCGCCCTCACGGGGCGCCCAGGCCCGACGCCAGCTCGGCGGTGAAAAGCCCGGCGTAAACAGAAGAAGAAGAAAAAAAAAAAGCCCCGAAAGTAGCGCTAAACGGTTAAAAAGAGCGTGGAGGGAGAGCAGAGAAACCTTTTTCACTGGCGTGTGAGGATATTAAACATAAGAATTGTGGGGCTTTACGCACAAATAATGGCGGAGGTGGGGGGGTTGAGGCCTTAAAAAGCTCCTAGCAAGTACTAAATCCCTTTTGTATCGCCATATTACTGTCAGGGACTTAAAGATTATGGCAGCTCTGTAGGTTTGCACCTTCATAATTATTTTTTGTGGTATCACTTTCAAGAGAACTTGCAGGGCCAAAGTTTCCAGGGACTTATTTTCATATTCTACTTCCAGGATAAGCATCCATCTCTCCTCTGGAAGGCATTGTAGACAAGAGTAAGTCAAAAAATAACAGAATGTGGAAAAAAAATAATAATAATTTCTGTTTTACAGACTGGACCTCACGTAACCCAGGCAGGACAGATGTTACCAATATGGATTCATTTCACTTAAGCGCTCATACACTAAAACTTCATTACATATTAATAGAAAGTAAGTACATAGTATTGCATCATTTTTTCTCCTATCAACATACATAAATCTGTTTTCCCACTATTTGTTCATACGAACAGGAAAAAGCTAAAATAAAAAGTTAGAAAGGAATAAAAAAAATTTGAAGAGATACCTAAAAGCCTATCTGGAAAGATTATGTTCTAATAAAATTGAATTTAATTCTAAAAAAGGTTAAAGAGTCCACTTTTTTTCTCTGCAAAGTTCCAGCCTAGCTGAATTTAAAACAAAAAAACTGCTACTTGCCATCATGCTTTCTGAGAAAGGTAGGTGTGGTTACCTGTAATTAGTAAGAGAAAGCATAGGTTTGTCAATTAAACTGTAGGAAAGTGGGTTAGCAATTATTCAGGTTGTCTGTTAAAAACAACTGCTATAACCTGGTGTGGTTAAACCTTTGTTTTATAATAATCAAATGTTTGTTTTTAAATAACTTACATGCTCTGCTAAGGCTTTAGTTCTTTGCCCTGAGATTTCCAAGTAGCAAAATAGGAAATTTACTGAAATTAGAATAAAACATTCATTACGTATAGTCGCAAATTGCTTCTATTTTGTTTGGCAGCCATAGGGAAATAATTTATTTTCCATCCCCTCCAAGAAATAGGCATGTGTGTTCATCATGAACAGGAATTGCCCTCTTAAAATCTGTGGAGGCACTTGTATACAGGTTGGAGATATATGTAAATATGCTTGAGAATGGAGGTAGAGATTTGTCTTGCATTCCTATCAGCAAAATACAGATTAAATTGAACTACTGAAGAAACAACACAACAAGCTTATTAGATGCATACAAAGTATTTTAGAGATCTAAAAAGCAGTTGTATATGCTGCTACAATATTTAAGTCCTATAGTCAAAATTGTAAGTGCAAGTTTTTTGTGTCCATGGGTTGTTTTTGACTGCGGAAATTTTAGGTAACACTGAATGATCTGGAAGAAACATGTATAACACACAAACATAGATTTCTGAAGTTCATAACAAACAGTAAATAACATTTTATTTCTCTAAGAGCTCTGGTATTGAGATTTTGTTACTGAACTGGAAGATTCATTGTATGAATTGTCTATATCATAATAAAATTATAGTACCTAAACTTTTTTTTAAAGCAAAAAATACATAATTTTATCCTGTTCCAGGAATATTTCATTTAATTCTCATTCTAATTTTCTATGCATTCTCTGATTTATGAGAGCTAAAGGTAATGTCCTGTCTTGAGGTTTGTGCTACACCAACTCTTAAAATCTGTGGAGTTTGGTTAAGGAAATAGGACAGGACAAATAGAGATTATCTGCTGAGTGACAACTAATTCTTTCACCACACCTATTCTTTTGTAAAAATGCAACTGTGCAGTAGTTCCTGTTTCTGATCCGGTGTCTTAATTAAGTCTCATCTCCAGTGAAAAATTTGATTGATATATAGCTATACTACTAGCATGAAAAGAGATTGTGAAGACTGGAAATTGTTGTTGACAGGGTGGAGGGTTGTTTGAGGTGGTGTGTTTTTTTTTCTGGTTTGATTGTATTGGGGTTTTCTTAGTAAATCTGTTTGGACAAGTCAGTTGTGCTGCATTTTTAAATCTTCCTGAAGAATCACACATAACTGCATGCAACACAATGCACAGAATGTTTCATTCTGGTGTCTTCACATAGTCCCATCCTGGAAGCTACTGTATGTACATTATTTTTAACACTTTTTTTCATTTTTAACCTTTTTTGTATGTGCATATAGATACATACAAAACCCATCCTAGACTGTATTTGGCACAAGTGTGCAACAGTCACCAGAAATAACTGGACTTAATCCATGTATGAGTTTATCTGTTTCTGTGTCAGATTACCATTTCAGATTTTTTTAAAAAGTTGGTAACTAAAATTTTAGCTGAAATTAGCTGCTAATACCTGAAGACCTAATATACATAATTAACGAATTTTTTTTTTTTTAAAGAGTACAGTTTGAGGTAGTTCAATAGACCTGAAATAAATAGGAAATGTAACTCACGTTAATTTCACAAAAGAGTGAGAATTCTCATGCCAGGGGCTTCCATGCATGCTAGGAGTAGGTCAACTGAAGCGAAAAGAGATTTTTTTTCCTCAAGAAGCTTGATTTAGATCTGAAGAAAACCTCCCGTAAACAGGTTGCTCCATAATTCTCAGTTGCAAAATCTCTTGCACCTTTTTCTCAATCGTCCTGTATTAACCCTTTTATAGAGCATGCCAAATTAGATAAATCTTTAGATAGATTCACTTGTTTATGTGTCTCTGCAATTGTTTCAAACATGAAGACAAAACTAGCCCAAGTCTATAGTATTTGGTCTGCTGCTAGAACACCTGTTTTTGCAGGCTGCTCTGTCATTCAAAACTTGCATGTTACAGTGCACCACAGTGCACTGGTGAAGCTGTGGAATATCATTGTTTCAAGTTATTCACTGAACACAAAAGAGGTGGTTGTTAAAATGGCCACCTCAGTAAATACTGTATATATACTATGAAACTTTTCCAAACAGGAAATGATTATGCTACACAATTTTACATTTTTTATCAATTCCTGATTTATAGGACATCTGCTTAAAGAGAGCCGGTTCCTGCGTACGCATATAAAATTGCTTTTTGGTTCCAGCCCCCAGGATCTGCTTTCCATCTTACATACGTGTGTCTGCCATCCCTGATAAAAACAAAGGTTACTAAGAGTCTTTTAAATACCTGTGAAATAGACTTAAGAATCTTGATGACCAAAAAAATGCCACTTTTCTTCCCTGATCTAAGATGGTTTTGCAATTAGAAAATAAGGGTGGAGTACTGCCTAGGAGGGAAAATCCCAGAATGTTTTTTACTTTCTGGTCTTTTCACATCTGTATCATAGTCATCAGACCTGTAAAATTCTGTTTTACATTTGCAGGACACCACGCCATGCAACTTGAGGGCTCAGACGGCCACAGGCATTCTACTCAGACATCTCCGCTGCAGAGGTAATAACCTTCATTGAATGTGTGGATGAGACAGATTGTGTTAATGAACTGCTTCAGGCATCCCAACTATACCTTTTGTCAAACGTATGGCTGTATCTTTACCACTAAGGCAATTAGAAATACAGAGCTGGAAGGTGCAGTTGAGTTTCTGAGTCCAGAAGCTCATACGACAAGTAACCATGCCATGGGATGGCCTTTGAAAGCTGTGGAAACTGTTTAGAAACAGTTAAATTTCTCATTCAGTGATGCTGTTATGTATAGAGCAGTGTTTTTGGAGGAATCCATGCTGGATCTTGATCAATATAACAGTTAAAAAGACAACTGTTGCTTGTCTTAGACTACAGGAGTAGGAAATCTTGTTCAAAAGCAGAAAGATAGAAGAACAGATATTACATAGTCCTGAGAGAAGGTGTTCTTGTTAAACAAGAAGAGCAAGGATGTAACTTGGTCCCGAAAGTATTAATGAGTACAAGTTTTATTTGCAAGTGAAATTGCCTTGTATACTGCTTAGAAATGTATTACATTCATGTTTTATTGAATGTTTTGTCAGTATTTTTGTAATTGCTGAGAATCCAATTCATTTTTGCATACGAATAGCATTGTCATTGCATTTTTGTAATCAAAATTTACATATTCTTGTCTGAGTAAATATACTGCATGATTCTTACGGTAACTTCAGATGATCCTGGACTTTGAAAGAGTAATTGTCACCAAGCAGGTATAAATTACACTGTAAAGGGCAAAACCCAGCACTTACCAAAACTGTGTAGCACCCGAGATGGTATAAAAATGCTTGAGAAATAGAAAATAATTATTTATTTTGCCTACTTCTCCATTTGTGACATCCCAGGTGAGTGTTTCTAATGAATTTACCCAAAATAACAACTCAGGAAAGCACCTTGTATTCTGGTATCATCACACCAACACGATTTTCCATTGCAGTGTATTTTGTCTGCCCTTTGTATTCCTTGATTTCTAGTAGGCAGAATAGCGTACGTTCTACAAAAACTGCAGAGATTCATAGAATATTCACTTATTTTGATTTTCCTTCAAGTTCTCACCTATTTGGTCCTATTTTTCCACCAAAATTAAATGACATACAGTGCATTTCAGCTCAGCTACGCATCATTCCCAAGTTTATTCTGAGGATCAGGAACTCTGATTTATTTCTTAAACCGATTTGTAACTGTTCAACCTGTTGTTCTTTGCCAGTTCTTTAACAATTAAGTTAAAATCATGCTGCTACTTTCCTAGGAAGGACCTAAGTAGCAGAATATCAAGATGATTCGTTAAAGGAAATAAATAAAAGCTTACCGAATAGAAACACTCAGTGAGTCCAGGTAGAGGAAAAAGTAGGAGTAACTGAGTCTCCTTAGCTACATTCTGCAGTCTGACAGTTTCTTTCAGCTTGCCTTTTACAATGGAACTAAAAAGTTATTTTAAAATGAATTCTGAAAACATGAAATTAACAAAACATTTTTAGTCAGAAGAGAATATAATATAATTGACATGATTTTAAAGTAGCATAAACTAGCTTTGTAAGTCATCATGTGATTTAGCACAAAAAGGCAGGAAGTTTCTTAACTAGTACAGTCTTGGAAGATGATATTAAACTTATGGTATGGATTATTGTGGTTCATCTATGAAGTTGATTCAAGAATACTTAATTCAGAATTGTTGAGAAACTTGGAAAATTGCTCTAAAATCTTTTGGAAAAAAAAAATATCTACGTGTTAAGCCAAGCAGAGCAGTCCTGAAGGACCACACTATCCTATAGATTTAATTCTACTGCATGTGCGTGTGTTATTGTGAATGTAATAAGCATATCAATTATATGACAGTAAATCTCATTCTTAACAGAAGCAGAATAAGCTACACGGGGACAGTACACACTGACAAGCATGTGTCCAAAAAGGAATTATGCATATTTTTGTTTTGTCATAAATTCTGGTTGAGGCAGTTTTATTTCTAGAGAAAAACCGTATTCAGTTCCTGTTGCCTTGTGACCCAATTAAGATCAACGCTACGCATCTCTGACTTCAGCAGTCATAAAAAATCATTGCCTAGTTCCTGAATGGGATTGTTATATTTAGCAGATCTTGAAGCATTTCCTAAAGCCAAAATATATCACTACTCTTGTCTTAGACATAGAAAACTGATGGATATCCATGTGAAATTATTTAGCCACTACCACCTAGCAGTTTATGGAAAGAAGTGAGAAGAAAGGTTAGTGCTGCTTGAACCTGGATCTATGGCACTGACTACAAGGAATACTAATTTTATACTGTGATACAATCATACAGAGTGATCCAAATATATAATTTTGCAATCTATATTTATACTTGTTCTACAAACTAACAGAGCTCATCTGCTGGGAGTAAGCTCTGTTCTGAATTTTCCTATATGTTCAGCTTACAACCTTGAAGCATATATGGGTGTCTCAAGGTTGGTCCAAGCCTGTTTGCACACTTAACTGCTTTTTCCTCCTTTTTTTTTTTGAAGCGAGCCAGAAGAATATTTTTTGTGCTTTTTTTTTTTTTTTTCCTACAACCAGAACTGTATCAGAGATCTTTTCCATGTCCTTGTGATTGTAGGAGATCTTGTTGTGTTTTTCTTTCATATTCAAATGTGTGTTGTTTACTTGGTTATTTTTTCCCTATATCTTGAAGCTCAACAAGCTATAAACCAACTTCTTAAAAGTCCTCTGGTGCTGGAACACGACAAAGAGACTGGAAAGCTGCCCTATCTGGGCAAATGATGTTTTGCAACATGATGAAATCCCTTAGTGGCATGAAACAAACGTTGCACTGGTTTGAATCACAGCAAACAGAACAGGGGAGAATATAGAATTTAAAATATATAGAATATAAAATAGCATCTTCTTAAAAACTTCGTACCACACACCCAGCATAGGTTGTTTGGAGGTGAGATGGATCCAGAGCAGTAAGTGAACAGATATTAATGAGCAAGTAAATGGACATATTTCTTGTATGGACACCCATTCTGCAGCTATAATAGTAACAAAAGGGCATTGTTACAGTCTTAGAAATAAGATTCTACAGGGTCTGTACATCTATGGATATATCTATTTGTAAATACACATGCATACACACCAACTGTACACAGTCTTTTAAGTAACTGATCTTTTCAGTGGCATGAATGCAGAAGAAGTGATTTGAGTAAAAGCCTAAAGCCTATTATTTTTCCATTTAAAGGGACTTTCCTCAAGGGTGTAATTGTCTCATTGGGCAACTAACAGGAAAACAACTGGTACCCTGGAGATGCTGAGAATTTAGAACCCACATTGAGATTTCAGCCTAGCTACTAAACTTTCCATGATGTCAGATGCATCAGACCTGTGGTGAAGTTTGTCTGCAGGAAATACCTTCAAGTACAAAAAAGAATCTGCTTATCTAGCTACATGTCAGATTCCTGTAGAAGATTCTTCAATCCGTGACATAGTAGTTCAGAAAGTGGGCACAGGTGTCACAGTGAAATAGCTACCGAATGTTGAATTAGTGAGCAGGGTGCTGTACTTTCAAAAAGAGTTATATTTATTTCATTGCTGCAGTTGCAGTAAAGCTTCAGTACTGCTGCAGATTCCAGAAAACAAAAACTGCATTCATAAGGCAAAAGTATTTGGAATAGGGGACTTGTATCACTCTCTTTGGAGAATCTATGTTTAGCCAAACAAAGCCTGTTTGTGGTAAAGGAAAAGGATGAGGCATGCTTAGAAAATTCAGTAGTTATTCATTTAATTGCAAGAGATAATAAAATGAGCAGATTCAATAATGGTTACTTCCTGTATTGCAAAAGTAAGCATTTATTTCAGAAAGTATACTGGAACTGAGCAAAATAGTCTGAAAAATAGGTAACTTCCACTATCCATGTCAAGCAAAATTGGCAACTGAATTCAGCCCAACCACTCTGTTAATGCAGTGAAAGAGAACTCAGTGAAGAGCAAAAAAAAAAAAAAAAAAGTACACCAATCTTACTGTTTCAGAAGAAAAAAAAAATCTGTGTTAATGTTATAGAAGATTCGTAGAGGATATTTATAGACTATGACAATTTCTCCTAAAAATGCTAAAAAGAATTGAGATGTTAGCAAGCAGGACTCTAATCTATGTTGCTGTTCAGTTGCTGATAAGAAAAAAGACTTGAAACAAATCTACTTCCTTAGCTCTCTAAAAATTCACATCTTTTCAACATGAGAGCAAGTCCTCTAATTTAGTAAAAAATAAAGAGAACTTTCTTGTGACCTCTGAGACTCGGGTACAGTAAACATCCCAAATCTCAAACCAGTTGTCAGAGATCCTAATTCTGCAAGACCCTTTCTTGTGAGCACCTGTTCAAAAAAGATGCGCTTATAAAATTCATGTTTCCAAGCAACAAAGCAAAACAAAGTAAAACATCACTGTCAGGGGAACGGACAGAGGCAGTGGCCTCATTAGTAAAGTCTGATTTTCTGAGGCCAAGCAGTACTATTCCAAGAGTTCAGGGGAGATTTTAAGTTACATGACATGCAGGAGTTTTACCCTTGTCTTAACAGAGCCATAACGTCACAGGACCTGGAATTCCAGAGTTGGAGACTGATCTTTTCAGTTTTATTCTTGGCTTAGGTATGGAGTCTGATTTTGGAAGAATTGTTTAGTTCCTTCGTTTTATGCGCAGCAGTGAGGAATGGACATAATCACGCACAGTGGTATTGCAAACTTAAAACAGTAACATTTCCAATGTATTTCGAGATTTTGGAGGTTGGAAGAAAGGAAGAAATTGTAGCTATTGTTGCTGCTGTTACTGAGTTCTGTTTGTCAGTTCTAGAAATAGGATTTGAAATCCATTGGCAGGAATATGGGACAAGTTACTACCTTTTTTTTTGGTGGGATTCACACCTGGAAATATGTGCTTGAGCCAGCAGGAAGTCTCTCTTTGGGAAGAATTAACATGTGAGTAAATAAACAGCAGGCAAAACTAGTTTGTTATACAAATTACACATCGTGGAATAAATTAAGCCCTTCTACATGTATACATTTGCTTAAACAAAACTATTGAAAACAATTTTGGTGGAAAACATTTTGAAAACCTTAGAACACAGATTTGGACTAGTGTTTTAAAGGGTTAAGGCAAGCATTCACAAACTAGATAGTCAAAGTAACATAAACCACAGGCTTTTCCCACTGATAACAGGTCTCCATGAACATGCACAAAACTAGGAAGAGAACTCACAAACAAGTAATGTGATTAGTTATTTCTACAGAAGCTGTAGCTTTCAGTTAGCTGAACAAACTAGTTTTGGATAAATTCTATTCTTAGGTGATTATTATGTGCCAAATTTTGATGCTTGATTGAAGACATTTTTTACTTGCAAACTGTAACAGCTGGAAACCAGGTTTTATATTATACTGTGAACAACATGCTAACAATTTTTTTACGGAAGAAAGCTCAGCAACAGAGCTATAATATTTCCTGTGTGTGTTTAGGCTGAGTTATGCTGTTATATTACTGATATGTATTATGCTAATGCAATAAAACATAAAGACTATTGTATCTTTTGTATCTTCTACCACAGTGGTAACAGTAGGGATTTGCATTGGTAATATAACAGCAGCAGAACAATTTAGAGAATTGTTGAAGTTTCCTTTTTGAGGTTATGGATCCAAGCCTACAAGTCAGTAAAATTCCCCACTAACTTCAGTGACTCCTGGAAGGCTTAGAACTGGAAAAAAACAACACCATGAAAGACAGACACAGCAATATGCTATTCATCACTTAATTAAAAACACAACATATATGGTGACAATTTCAAATATGTGAACTTACTGCACTATTTGAACAGCTTTTTTTAAGAATCATTTTAAAATACTAAATTCAAAGGAAAGAAAACAAGTGATCAAGTGGTTTCATTTTTCCATGTTAATACCTTTTACTTAAATTTTTGGATGTATGGATTATGGACTACCATGATAATATGCCTGAAGATGTTTTAAAGAATATGTCAGACGAGAAAAAAAATAAAAGACACCCTAAAAACCAGTTCCTATCCATAACATCCTATAGTATTAGACACTCAAGAAGCGAATGTACTTCTCACAATTTAAAATGTGTTTGCTTTTTTTTGCATTTAATTTAGTTTTATTATCAGATTAGTCAATTGCAGTTTTTGCATCTCCTATATTTCTTTACTAGGGGCATGTGTGTGTTAAATCCTCATAAGAAATGTAATACAAATAACCAGGAATGACATTTTCAGCATTTTTAATAAAATCTTTTTCCGCTATAAAAATTAATGTTGGAGTCTCAGCTAGAAGCATTATGTGGTTTATTAATACGCACTAGTCAGCAGGTCTACATCTAGATAGAGTATCACCCTCAGGCAATTGTTATTGACTGTACTGCCATTTATTATGTATTAATCTGCTACTGTGAGTATCTGAACATGGCCAAAGCTCTGTGAGTCCTTTTTCCTCGTACATATGCATGAGCAAGTGTGTGATGTGGTAGGGGTTTTAAACACTCGCCACTCTCCAAAATGAGCGGTTGCATTTGGCACTGAGGTAAGTCCCAGTTTCATGCTTTCATGCTTTGTGCCAGCCTGGTAGTAAGCTGCACGTTAGTAACACAAGGCTGTCAGATTTGATCCAAGGGCAGTGTTCTGCACTGCGTGGACTGCACTTCTTTATTTCCAACACCACACTTGCTTAACCTGGGCTGCAGCTAAATCAGCCCCGTGTACTTCTGCCCACAGGTATGGTGATAACAGAATCGAGGGGAGGTCTCAGGAATGGATAGATTCAATTGGAGCAGGGGGTGGTGGTAAGAGAGCTGTAGCTCTTCCTGTCCTCCTCCTCCTTCTATTGTAACTAGTGGGAAGAGTCTGCATCCTGCAACACATGATGAGCAATTAGCTGCTCAGGCCTCTCCCCCCCACTCATGTTGCTGCTGTACTGCTGTCTCTTCTGGCTGTGCTAGCAAAAGGTACTGAAGCAGGTGTTGCTGCTGTTCCTCTCCCCAGCATAGCATGTTCTGTTCTGGAGGTAGGTCGGTGATAGAATAAACTATGCCTGGTCGAGCTTAGTCATAACCGCTCTGCAAATGCTTCATGCTGGTTTTGTTATACCCAGAAAGCATTCTTGTAGGGAACACGTTCACCATGTAGTGAAGCACTAGTAGCACAGCCACACATCCTAGAGATAGCTCTACAGGCAGGTTTCAGAACTGAAAGCATCAGAAGCTGCCCTTGTGTATTGCCACACCTGGATTTAGCCCAGCTGTACAGCGCTTCCATACCACGGCTGTGCCACCTCTGCCATCCTGGCGAGGACCTTGGCACGTACACAAATGCCACGAGGTAGTGCCAGTTTGTACAGCCCTAGCTCAGAGGTCTTTAATGTTGTGTTACACTTTCTGCATTGTTGTTCTCCTAGTACACCTAAGGTGCTGCCAGAACTTAGTTATAATACGTTGTTTGTTTGTTTTTATTTTTGTTGTTGTAGTACTTTTTTTTTCCATATCTATTTCAATCTGAGGCTTAAAGCAGACTGGCCATCAGCCCAGAAACTAGCAAGTTGTTTTTAAAGGACACCAAAACGTAGATAAAAATCAAGCAATTGAGATTAGCCTGTTAAAATTAGTTTTACCTTAGATGACAACTTGATCCAGGTCTGGTTTCCTGTAGTTCTTACTCTGTAGTTGTGGCACATTTATATTATGGCAAAGTACCCACTGTCATCAGTAACGGTTTTGCCTGGTTTGCTGTAGAAGTAGGACTGAATGGCGAAAACAGTCACCTTTGACACACACTTTGGTGATGCTTGGTGATGCTTGCTTTAGGGACTAGGTTCAGCTTTGTAGACAGCTAGAAAATGCAACTCAACTGTTAAGAATATTTTGGGGATTAAGTCTTGTCATTAAGAACCACTTAGTCTGTTGTGCTGCCTGTCTTGTACGCTGCAGCTGAAGGTACTGGGTGTAAAAGCTAACTGTTCTACAGTCAGCTGAGTTTCCACACAGCACAGGCAAGGCTTAAATATATTCCCTGCTGTTCTGCATATAAGGAGGTGGAGGAAGGAAATCTGGAGAGGAAGCTGAACTTCCTGTGCTAGAGTTTTTATACTAGAGCCTTCCCTGAATTCAAAACAATGCAGCAACAGCTTAAAATATGAATCACTAGAACTGCAGACGTGCAGGACTTGATTGTCTGCCAGGAAGACCCCACAACTGTGATTAGGGATTCATGTGTTTCTTGTAAATCCGTAACAGAAACAATCTGACTCGTTTGTAGACTTAGCAGTTGCTTTTTTCTTCCCCCACCCCATCTCCAGAGTGAGAAGAAACTCCCTCTTTGTAGTTTCATTTCTCTGAATGTTGTTTCAGATGTATGAAGTAGCTAATTTGGGCATCTGGATTAATCATGGGCACATGGATAAATGACTGCACAAGCTGAGATAAAACAAAAATGGGCACCAAATGGCCATCTTACAGGACCAGGTCTAAGCAGACAATCAGGGAAGGTAAAAAGTAAGAGGGTCTGTGGAAAATAGAACTCTCAGCTAACTAACACTTGCAGCTTTATATTTTATAATTATAAATGAAGATATCACCAAACTAATCCTATAAATTACCAAGTTATCCATATCCTGATTTGGATTCCTGTTATTTAGTTATATTAGTATTACTTAGCATCTCACACACTGATTAAAGCTTAGAGATTTGGGATTATAAATTTCAGACCTACAATAGTGAGATATGTTTGAAAAGAGGTAGGAATCAATATGAAACTTAGATTTTTTTTGTTGTTATTATAGCATAGCACTAAACATTTTTTTTTTACAGTATTACTAGCTACAATTCCCTTAAGAAAACATTTTTTTTTCCAAATAGCTGATGATTTTGATTGAAACCTATGGGAACAAGAGCATACACTGATGAAATACAGCTTTCTTGTTGATGACAATGAGAGAAACTGGAGAAAAGGAAGATCTCTTTCTTTTCTGAGCTGCAACAGCATTATTCCTCATGTTCTTTTTTTAATCCAGGCAATTTCCTGTACGTCTAAAACATCTCCCACAGGAGGGGGTACTTGCATAGCATCTTCCACCCAAAAGCACCATGCAAAGCAGTAGTTAGATTGCATTTATTTTTTGTGCTTTCAAGCAGCTCACCATTACTAATTAAAAAGGTCCTGTAGAAGCATCTCCTCTGCTCCATCTGATTTAGTCGTTCTAGTTTTCTCACCACTGGGACTCAAATCAGCAGCACACTGAGCTGACCGCTGTAATCACAAGCCTGTGCTGAACTCTCACCGTATGAGATGATGCAATGCCACTCTAAGTAGCGCAATAAAAAAGCATTGCATAGGTAGCATCAAAGCATACAGCCTGCCGGCACAGTGTGAAGAGGTAAACAGGATTATTAGGTATCCAGCTCACCTGATATTTCCCATGGTTTGCTTTATGCAGCTATTTATTCTAGGCCTACATTTGGTAGAAATAAATTTAATGTCACAGTTGAATTCAGGTGAAATTCCTAAATGATAGGATCTAGGCAGTTTGGAAAGAAGATGTCATTAGATTTTGATAATTACGGGATTGAAGCATCTGGCATATGATGAGAAGACAAGCAAGCTGGGTTTCTTTAGCCTCAAGGCTCAGGTGAGATTATGCCAATGGTGGTATACAACAACTGATGGGAAAGCATAAAGAAGGAAGAGGAGGAATTTCCTCAGTGACCCACTGACAGGGCAAGAAGCAGCAGCAGCAAACTGAAATGGGAAAAAAAAAAAAATCCACTCAAATGTTCAAAAAAAAGCTACTTTTACTGTAAGGGTGGTCAGGCACTAGAGCAGGTTGCTCAGAAAGATGGAATCTGACTTTGAATTCTTCAAAGGGAGATTAGCTCCAGAGCAAGCCACTCTAGCTGACCCTGCTGCATGCAGGAGGGTTTGGCTGGGTGACATCCAGGTCTCTTCCAACCTCAACTGTTCAATGTTTCTGTAACTTCTCTATTTAGCCAAGGGGAAGTAGGGGAAAAGCCATTTAAAGTGGTGTCTGTATAGATGCCCAGAATATCTGCGGTAGAGCTGGAATCTGTCACATTCCAGGATGTTTCTAGATTGAAAGATGGCCTTTCCTATTAGCACAGAATGTTTCTTGAATATTATAGTGAAAATAGCGGAGTATATACTTCTTTATTCTCCCTGTGGTCACTTGAACTTCAGGCTTTCACAGCAGGTATGGAGGACATTGTATCTAGTAGGCTTTTTGATCTCACTATGTGCTATTTTAAAGTAAGCAGTAAAAAGCATATTTATTTTTACCTCCAAACAAAGTTAATTAAATTTCATGAGAAAGTTAAATGTTACTTTCCAGCACCTAATCTGAAAAAGCAACGTTCACCGGGGTCTCTGAGGCTCACTGGTGCCATCTCGTGGAAGAACAAAAAGGCAGCTTAGGTGGAGTAACGGGCTTGGAGGGCCAGCTCTCCAGATACCCATGGTATATTTATTTTGATGGCCTTCTGGTTAGCTAGCTAGTCACAATGGTATTGCCACCTCATGCTTTAAAAAGAGCTGAAGTGACCTTATGTGCAGTGCAGAACAGCTTCCTTTTACCTCCTTCATAGGACATGTGTGTCTCTGACAAACTGCCTTTTGACAAGATATGCATCCATTTAGGAGGCGTTGTCCAGGGGTAAGTGACAGCATTTCTTGCCCCTCAGAGCTGTGCAAAGCTTCTTGCGTGGTCTGATCTGATACAGTGTGGGGCTGAAAGCAGACTCCAGAGACCTAGACTGAATTTGACTGACGATTATATATAGACTAAAGAGTAAAGACTGAGTTTCAACAAGATAGAAATGAGCAAAAAAAAAGTGAGTGTACAAATTGTCAAAGGAGTAGTATTCTTTAGTGTTTACATCTAAGGTAGCATCTTGCAGGACATTCGATCCTACTACTTGATTTGAGCTACTTGGGAAAGCAAGGAAGAGGAGTCAGGTAAGAACCAAGCGCTTCAGTGTGGATTCAGGCATTTGTACATTTTGAAAAAAGTTATGTCTTCTATCCAAGGCACCCAAAGGGAGCTTTCAATATCACGTAGTCTATTTCCCCTGACAGTAATTTAAGTAAGATTGCTCTAAGTTACTCCTTTATTTAAAACTGGCTTTAAAGGCTCCTTCCCTTGCGACTAGCATCTACCTGACATGTCCATAGCTACTTGCTTAGTACTTACAGATTCTAGAAAGAAAATGAGTAACAAAGGGAAGATGATCAGGAGGATATTTTCATAAGCAGCTTTTCCAGTAGT